GCGAATCATGAACGATCAGCTGATGTTTATAGAAAGAGCTTTCATCGATCCTCTTGGATTACCAGGAAGGAAGTTTTACAGGTGAGGAATGAGGTTTCTTGCCCAGCTGCCTAAGGCACTGTGGTTTTGAAAGTGAACATCACGCTAACCGATGCATCAGCTGAACTGCTCTTCATATAGGCCTCACATAGGAATTACAGCTTAACTGATGGGTTTCGATAATATCCAGTGTGTAGATGGCTTTGTTTATAACATCTGAGGAGAATTCCTTGGCTGCACCAGTCTCGTGGTGCCTAATTCCTCTCCTGGGGTCTGGCACTAAGTTTTTATTCACCATCCTACTCTGTGACTTTTCCTTGCAGCTGTGTAGCACTACTTCTGTTACTACTTGCTCTTTTAAAGCTGTACTAAGTGAGGATTGAGCGGAGAATCAACTGTACTGAACAGAAAGGAGAAAAGAGGGTGGAGTAAAAGGGAGAAGAGGATGAGAACAGATGTGTAATGAAAATCAGAAGTCCAGAAGAGAGGGTTTGGAGAGAGACCTTTGAACACAGGATAGATGAAATCCCATGAGCTGTGCTGTAGAGTCCCAGCTGCCCCAGCTTTGGCTGCTTCTGTAGATACAGCTATTAGCTTAAATAATTATTAGTTATTCTTGAAGTTTTCTCTCTACAAGCACGTGGGCCCAGAGAAAGACAATGTTTAGTGCACCACCATACATTTTATAGTGCATTTATTAACAACACTTGACAACAAGCTAACTGCCAGTGTCAGGTGTGTGACTGCCTCACTTTACTCTCAGCATCCCCATCTACTAATGACTGGCTATATCTAAGTCACTGATTGATGGCTTTCACACCAAGCCAGAGAAGTCCCTCAGGCAGGTAGAATTTGAGAATCACTCTTCCATCCTCTTAGGATAAACTGTCATTCACACTTCTGGAAGAATGAAATGGTTGTTTCCTACAGTTCTTCTTGTTGGGTATTAGGTATCACTTAGAACTGTCAGGACTTTTTAACTTGTTTTTTTACTGGCTTGCATTTATTGATGTAGTTTTAGTGCTTATTTTGATTTGGGAAGCCTCTCACGAGCTACAGATGTGCTTTGATACTTCCTATGAACAAAATCAATTTAAAAGCAGATCAACAACTATTCATTATTTAAGGAAAAAATCCCACCAACAAATGAAATTGATTCTTTTGCTCAGTTCTGCCCCAATACGATCACTTCTCCTCTGAAGAATTCATGCTTTTCTCAAGAATTATCCAGTAGATTTTTTTCCCCTCCTTTTACATTCCTTTCCCAGACCTTCTGCTTCCACCTGTCCTTTTATACACAGCAAGATGTCCTGTGTATTTGGTAAGTTCTGATTTTCACGAGGTTCACAGCTGCTTTATGTAGCGTACAACAGTTCCCTACAATGATCACACACACCATTAATGGTTACTTTAATTATTTAGTATAGTCCTATTTTCCTCTTTCCCCTCCCCAGGCATGTCATCTTTGCTCCAAGCAGCCACAACAAGTACGCTGGAGAGTCCTTCCCAGGGATCTATGATGCCCTGTTTGATATTGAAAGCAAAGCGGATCAGCGTGAAGCCTGGGAAGAAGTTAAGAGGCAGATTTCCATTGCAGCCTTCACTGTGCAGGCAGCAGCAGGGACACTGAAAGAAGTAGCATAGGATGATGGCTTCGATAAGCTCAAACAACCAAGTCACAAGTGCAGCTTATTGAGCCTGCTGCAGTGACCCAGTCTCTCCTGACTGTCTGCTGTACTGGAGTTCCCAACCTTCGGAATGTGTGTGAGTGTACTGGTGGGGTGGGAAGGAGCTTTGCATATCAAAGAACTCCTGAGTTAGAAGATTCTGCTTCTCTGATACTGACAATGCTCTTGCTTTAAGAACAGTCCTAGGTGGAGGCAAATTTGGGGGTAGGGGAAGGAAGAATTAGTTCCCAATTAGAGTTTCCTGAAAGATCTGCCAATTTTGAGGACCCTTTAGTTTAGATGTACAATTAGGAACCCCATTATTTGCCAAGCTGCCTGTAAATCTTGCCCATAGGAGTGATCAACAGCACACATATAGAATTCTATGATTCTTTATCAAGATTAAAAAATACAACACTGCTCTGCACCTGCATTTTTCTTGTTGGGGTAATTACTTTTATAACACAGGACACCAAAGGCACCTCTGTATTTCAGAATCTATTCTGCAGGGCTGGTGAACGCTCATTTCAATTATTTGCTTTCTTCTCCCACAAAAGCAGCACCAGCCATTCTTGATAATGAGAGGAAACAGCAGCTTAGATGCAGAAATCCAACAGCAATTCCTCAGGGATTCAGTGTCCATCCCTCTCAAAGTCACTGGGCCTCCCTCCTCTACTGGCACTTTGGAAAATAAAGACTTTGTGGGATAACCAGACATTGACCTCCCAGCTCCTTTTGGCACTTTCATTAGACCCAAACCCATTATGGCAGCTTTTGTTCCTATATTTTCCTGGAAAATCATCTTTCATTCAACTGTCTTCTTCCAGTTGAGGGAGCTGGAGGGCATTGGCACTATTGGCAAGGGGCTTGAGGTTATTCTGCTTTTAAATAAGACCTGAAGGAAGTTTCGCATCAGGAGCTGCTTTTGCGTTCAAAGAGAAACTGAAATGCATGAGAAAGGTCACTGTACAAGACTGTTTAATTTGTAGAAAAAACAATTCTTGCTTCATTTGCCCCTTAAATGTACTTCTCGTCTACATGCTTTATGAGTAATAAAAGCGCTAGAATTTTATCTCATCATGTTCCAGTTTGTGGGAGTTGATGATAGTCCATTTCTTCTCTTATGTAAAATATTCCACAGTTTTTCTCACAACCATAAATTGCACCAGGTTGTGGGAATAAAATCCTTTTTGTTTTATGGGGAACAGAACAGAAGTGGTACTAAAAGAAAGACAGAATTAGAGAAACAGGACAATTAGTAGGCTACAGAAGGAGTTGTTCTCATCTCAGGCACCTTCCATTCAGGCATTACTGTAGTTCAGTCCTTCAGGAAGTCATTTTGGGGTATATGCCACCAAGAGGCTTTCATTAGCATCACTTCCGTTAAGCCTTCTGAAAGATGAAGGACTTGTGTACCTGTGGATGTTCTGCTCATAGCTTATTGTTAAATTGCTTTTCACAAATCAAGACTTAGGCACATGAGGAGGAAATTCCTCTCCCACAGTCCAAGATTTACTCTCCTGTTGGAGAAAGGAGTGCCTGACCAACCTCATCAGCATGCACAAGACACAAGTAGTCAGTGCTAAGAACACCAGAACCGTGACTACATAGACTCACAGAATAGTTTGGGTTGGAAGGGACCTCCAAAGCTCATCAAGTCCAACTCCCTGCAATGAGCAGGGACATCTTCAGCTAGATCAGGTTGCCCAGCCTGGCCTTGAATCCCTCCAGGGATGGTGCCTCCACCACCTCTCTGGGCAACCTGTGCCAGTGTTTTACCACCCTCATTGTAAAGAATTTCTTCTTTATGGCTGTTATTTTCTTGACTTCTACATGATGAGGCCACTCGCCGTTATTGAGTTGTTCACCTCCACATCTGTAGCTTAAGGTGCTGCTGAAGGATGTGATACCTTGTGAACAGTGACTGGTACATTACTGCACCGTTTCTCCTTCCCTTCTGAATCACCCATTTTTCCTGCTCCGTTGTAGCTTTATGTTAACTGCAATGGGCAGTAACTGAATGTGCTTCCAAGGAAGGATTGGGATATCTCCATGGTGGAAAAAAGCCACTAGTGCCTCCTATGAACAGCAGCTAGCTTTGGATCTGTTGGTGGTTGCTGCCATTGGATCATCAGACAGCAAGGCAAAAAGGGATTTCCATATAAAAAGGAAGTATCTGTTGAAGAGTGATTCCTGCTTAATTTACAGAAATGTCTTTAATAACACAAACCAGTTAATAAATGCTTCACCAGTAAACATACCTTTTCAGTGGTAGCTAACCTTCGAAGTTCTGTGCCATGCAAAAGAACATATTCTCTGTTCTTGTTTCCAGGTGCAGTTCAAGGATGTAAGAATAAATTACAGCTCACATCAGGCTGAATGCACAGCTGGCAGTGATTGCTTTGATCCTTTTCTCAACTTAATTGCTAGCTCTGTATGAATGTAGGATCCATCATGACCCGATAGGCCCTGGGAAGTATACAAAATAGCTTAAGTCTATTTCCATTCCTGTCTATAAAGTTCTATTGCAGGAAAGGGATAATCCAAACCCTTATGAATAGGAAAACCAAACCACTTATAAATGCTTTATACAAATTGAATTCCATAAAGTCCCATATTCTTGGTATGGAAAGGATCGGTTACTCAGAGCTGAGATTGCCTCCCCTGCTTCAGCCAACAGTATCTCCTTTTCTGTAGGTGGGCAACCAGGCAACTGCTGCCATCCCACAGCCCAAAGGCTGCTTTATTTGTGTAGCTCATAATTTCAAAGAGTGGGGGGATTTTTCAGGCTCTCCTTATGCTCTGTCCTTCCCCAATTCCATCTGCACAGTTCACTCAGCCTGGCTGAAGCTATCTGTGAATCGTAGAGCAGTGAGAAACAAACCCTTCATAGAATCATAGAATGGCTTGGCTTGGAAAGGACCTTAAGATCATCCTGCTCCCATGGGCACGGACACCTTCCACTAGAGCAGGTTGCTCCAAGCCCTGTCCAACCTGGCCTTGAACACTGCCAGGGATTGGGTATGTTCAAGGCCAGGCTGGAGCTGGAAAACTCTTTGGCAAAATTAAACTGAGTAAAGTTAAACATCACTTGGATATTTGCTGATTGTCTCTTTAGAAAATCAGTTTTAAAGGGACAGTGCCAGGAGGTTATTTTGGATTATATATATGTGGTTGAAATACCTTTGGTTTGCCTTTGGAAAGGAAGCCGGAACACTTGGTCAATTTAGTGATGTCTGGAAAATGGGGATAACCTACATGTTCCCTTCTACAGTGAGTAAGTGATTAACACAATCCACTTACAACACTCATATATTTGTGCAAAATTAGCAGTAATTTAGAATAGTAATTCTGCTGTGGTTTTCAGTGAATGAATGAATGAATGAATCAATCAATCACAATAGAACCACCTCAAAATTGCTCTGCAGATCTTAAGCTTAATAAAAACTAAATCAAAACCTTTCAAGATTAAATGTTTGGGATTAAGTGATGCCAATGCTTCTCTCATCACCCTGTAATTTAGCCCTTCTCAAAGCTGACTCATGCATCAAGGGACTGCCTTTGAGTAGTGATGAAATTAAAACTTCCTTATCCCTGTATCCTGATGACTGAAGTACAAGTAACCAGCTGAAGAAGCTTCATAAATCTCCTCAGTAACTACACAGTTCAGGTGTAAGAACAGGGCATTTAGATTTGTCTGGTGTTATGGTTCTGCCAAAGCAAATTGTTGAGTATAGGTTCGGCTGATCTAAGCCTGTATTCTTTTACAACAGTGAAAAAACACAGTGTGTAACTCAGTGTATCTATTAAGGAAAAGACATTGCAAGAGAAAGGTCCTAAAGTCAATCAGCCCATTAAGCAGATGATCACAGTCAGCACTGGTACTATATGATGACTTTTCCACAGACCCAATTTCTATTGTTCTGTCCTTCTTCTAAAGCGTTTGACACTGTCCCACACGACGTCCTTGTCTCTAAATTGGAGAGACATCAATTTGATGGATGGACCACTCGGTGGATAAAGAACTGGCTGGATGGCCACATGCAAAGAGTTGTGGTCAATGGCTCAGTGTCCGGCTGGAGACCAGTAACGAGTGGTGTCCCTCAGGGACCGGTGTTGGGAGCGGTCTTGTTCAACATCTTCATCGCTGCCATGGACAGTGGGATTGAGTGCGCCCTCAGCAAGTTTGCCGATGACACCAAGCTGTGTGGTTCAGTTGATACGCTGGAGGGAAGGAATGCCATCCAGAGGGACCTTGACACACTTGTGAGGTGGGCTGATGCCAACCTCATGAAGTTTAACCATGCCAAGTGCAAGGTCCTACAGCTGGGTCGGAGCAATCCCAGGCACAGCTACAGGTTGGGCAGAGAAAAGATTCAGAGCAGCCTGGCAGAGAAGGACTTGGGGGTGTTGGCTAATGAGAAAATGAACATGAGCTGGCTTCAGTGTGCGCTTGCAGCCCAGAAAGCCAACCGTATCCTGGGCTGCATCAAAAGGAGCGTGACCAGCAGGTGGAAGGAGGTGATCCTGCCCCTCTACTCTGCTCTTGTGAGACCTCACCTGGAGTATTGTGTGCAGTTCTGGTGTCCTCAACATAAAAAGGACATGGAACTGTTGGAACAAGTCCAGAGGAGGCCACGAGGATGATCAGGGGACTGGAGCACCTCCTGTATGAAGACAGGCTGAGGAAGTTGGGGCTGTTCAGCCTGGAGAAGAGAAGGCTGCGTGGAGACCTCATAGCAGCCTTCCAGTATCTGAAGGGGGCCTATAGGGATGCTGGAGAGGGACTCTTCATTAGAGACTGTAGTGACAGGACAAGGGGTAATGGGTTAAAACTTAAACAGGGGAAGTTTAGATTGGATATAAGGAGGAAATTCTTTCCTGTCAGGGTGGTGAGGCACTGGAATGGGGTGCCCAGGGAGGCTGTGAATGCTCCATCCCTGGCAGTGTTCAAGGCCAAGTTGAACAGAGCCTTGGGTGACATGATTTAGTGTGAGGTGTAGCTGCCTATGGCAGGGGGGTTTGAACAAGATGATCTTAAGGTCCTTTCCAACCCTAACCTATGATTCTATGATTCTTCTATAGCTAACCTGTAAAATAATCTCTACATGCTCATAAGGGCCAAGAGAATGTGAACTCTATGGGCTACATAGTATTTTGCAACAGAAGAGGACCTGACAACCTGGTTATCAGCCCCCCCGACCCCAAACCAAATGGAGGAGCTATTGCTGTTCCTAGCCGTGCTGCTTAATAAAATATCAGGCAGCAGGTTTAAAACAAAGGGATTACTCACTGTACATGTCATTATATGGTGAACCTCATTGCTACAGGAGATTGTGAAAGGTACAGCAGGTTAAAAAAGGATCAGATGCATGCAAGGACTGCTCATGCCTGACAATGCAACTTTTCATTCAGAAGGCTCTAAAGCACTTGGAAATTAAAGCATATGGAGGCATGAAGGGATTAAAACATACCTGCTTCATTCCTTGCACTTCTCATGGAGAGATTATTGGGAAAGACAGTACTTTGCACTCATTGTGGTGCATCCACTGAATAAACAGCCTCTTAAGTGCTGGTCCTCTATTCATATGCACTGCCTTGAAACCCAAGAAAATTAATACCTTCAAAAGGTGCTCCTCCTCAAACCAAAATAACGATTAAATACATCAATCATGGCACTTATTTAATGAAACAAAGCAAACAACAAAATAGCTTGAAAGCAGAAGTAGTTTGTCCTCCAGTGGTGTCATTCAGAAGGTTAGAGGTGCTGTGCAGCGTGTGCACAGAAAGAGCTACTGCAGTGACCCCAAAAAACTCCTAAGGAAAACAGCAGCAGGATGAGATTCCGGAAGATACCAAAAGTCACTGAGGACTTTCTGCACCTCCCAGGCAATGCTGTAGAGACTCTCATGGAGGCAGAGCTGGAATCTACAGGAGACAGGGCATCAAAAGCAGCTGGGGACCTCCCTTCTGCAGCTGGTAGGAATAGCATATACTCCTCATGGCCTGTTCTTTCTCTTCCTTACTCTAAATTCCTCTGTTTTCAGTCATGGCGTTCTAGCATACAGTTACGAGTGCCATTAAGAGAGCTGAATGATGGTGAAGGTCATGGACTTCCCTATGGCAAAGCAGAGAAGACAACACTAATTATATGAAATACAGAAATCTTGCTTTCTGCTCTGCTGTTCTCTTCCGAGCCAAAGCAAAGCGCTCCTCGGTTCCTCACTGAGCAACACCTGCTATACAGAAACTGTCCCTAGAGAAACCAGCAGGAGCTGAATTTAGTGAGCAGCCTTTTCTAAGGCAAAAGACTCTTCCCATTACACCACTGAGACTAAAAGTAGCTCTGGTAAAACAATAGTGGCTTCTGCTTAACCCTGTAGTTCAACTGCAGGTCTATGGTGTATCAGTTGAGCCCTCAGTCAAATGCTGCTGTTACTTCTCAATTGTTAATTCTCTCATTCAGCGTCAGCAGGAGAACTTAGAAAGCCCCAGTGTTTTGGGAACTCTGTCCCACGGCTTCCCTCTGTACTTGCTTGGGCCAGTCATCATCTGTGAAGTCAAGGCAGCTTCAGTTGGTGTCAGCAGTTTTTGTCCTGATGGATTAAGCATCTTCTTCATTCAAGAAAATCTCTGAGCTATTCTGCAACCCAACCCATGAGGCATATCCATCTTCTGGATGAGGTTGGGGAGCTCAAAGAACAGAGGAGAAGGAGCAGGACTGGTTTGTTAGGCACCTCATGCATGAGGGGCTGGACCTGGTTCAAGTAAGCTGAACACGTCACAACCTTCTATGAAGGGAAAGAACAGGAGAGGCGATAATGGGAAAAGCATGTCAGAGGAGGGTACCAATCAGATAAGAATAGACTTGCTGTGCTTACATGGCACCTTCCCCAGATGTGCTTTGCTATCTTTGCTGACGCATTCCCGATGCTGCCACCCACACTACATCCAACCTCGGCTCTATTTTTAGAAGGAAACCCAAGCCAGTTGCTGGACACAGCGACTGTTGTGACAACACACCCTTACTTAACCCAGGGGCAGCAGGATACCACAGCTGGGGAAGCACAGATTGCTGTGAACACCGAGCACTGAAACATTCAGTTCCCTCTGAGATCACACATCCATGTTTCCTTACCCTGCCCACCAAAACCCGCTCTGGTACCTTCTGCTTTCATAAGCCCCATCTTCATCCCACAGCACATAACATCTTGGAACCCTGCCCTGCAGAACTGTGGGCACTTGCTTAGTGCTGCCCATTGCCACAGCAGAGAGTAAAGCACAAACATCCCACCTGCCTTATTGAAGGCAGAAATAAACACGCTTGGTAAGCAAAGGCGAGTTCATTGTTGGTATACTTGAAGTCTTACCTGTGTGATCAAAGAATGTTTAGTCTCTATTTATTACAGAAAAAAAGAAGAAAACTGTTGTTATTATATAAAACTATACAGAAACAAAGGGAGAACAAGTGAGGCAACAGCCGATTGGTCATGAGAGAACTTGCAACAGCCAAACAAGCTAGAACAAAGCTCCAGGCAGGCAAAGAGAAGTTCAGACAACACCAGCCTGGCACATCCTGAGACCATGCAGGGCCGGAGCAAAGCTGGTGCCCTGCTACCCGCTGTGGCAATGCTGCATTTATTGAACTGCCAGCAGAGACTGATGCTTGGGATATCCCCAGTGGTTATGGACAGCTACTTACATGTGGTTGTATACATACTTAGTATGCATGGTGTAGGACTTAGCATGCAGTCCTGGCAAAGCAGAGATTGCTGAAACAGACCTGGCTTTTCTTTCATTCTCAAGCCATCCCAGATCACATAATTCAGCCTTATTGGACTTGGGTTTTGCAAATATCACTCATTCCTGTCACCTGCAGTCTGACAGATGATAACCTGCCTGAGAACTAGATACTGATGCAGGGTTCAGTGTGTAACTGCAGAACTCAGCATTTCCTTGCGGGCAGTATTACACTGCGGTTTGTCCTCAAATGTGATCACCAGAATATGATCTGGCAAAATCTGTCAGCTCTTTGAGGGCTACTGCTCGTTCTGCAGACAAACGCACTTACAATTTCAGTGAAGAATACTTACAGTGTGTGGGGGACATGGCAATGTTCAACACTGCAGACTGCAATTGTACCCTTGACAAGTTACATTTACTCAAGTACCCCATGGGACAGTTCAAGATTAAACATACGTGCATTATATGATAAAACTGTGAAATGCAAAACCTCATTAGTTTTATAAAGGACTGGAGCACCTCTCCGATGAAGATGGGCTGAGAGAGTTGGGATTGTTCAGCCTGGGGAAGAGAAGATGCTGGGGAGACCTCTGAGCAGCTTCCAGTGTGTAAAACAGCTGACAAGAAAGCTGTAGAGGGGCTTTTACAAGGGCATGCAGGCATAGGACAAGGGGGAATGGCTTAAAGTTGAAAGAAGGGAGATTTAGATTAGATATTGGGAAGAAATACTTCCCTGTGAGAGTGCTGAGGCACTGGCACAGGGTGCCCAGAGACGCTGTGGCTAAGCCCCATCCCTGGCAGTGTTCAAGGCCAGGTTGGACAGGGCTTGCAGCAACCTGGTCTAGTGGAAAGTGTGGCAGGGTTGGAACTGGATGAGCTTTAAGGCCCTTCCAACCCAAAACATTCTGTGATTCCGTGACTGAGGTTTTTGGCTACTTTTCAGTGTAACAGTCTCAAACAAGCTGCAGCCTTCAGGGAACATGCATCATAGAATCATTAGGGTTGGAAAGGACCTTACGATCATCTAGTTCCAACAATATAATTGTTCAAGCATAAATGCAGACAAACAAGTCTGTGTTCCAAAGTAAAACGTTGAGGAGAAGTAACAACAGAAATGCTGAACAGCGCCTGTGTTCACACAGCAACAAGGTGAACCTTCATACAGATAAGGGAGAAAATGATCATTGACTGTGATTTGAAGTTTCCTTACTTTGGCTCATGGATGCTGTTAGAGCTGCTGCTTTGTGTCAACCTTCACTCTTAGCAGGTTTTCTATAAACCATTTTTTCTATACCCACAGGAAAACTCTTCTCATAAAAATTTATTTGCAACTACATTTTAATACCCTCCACTCATTTTACCATCTTCTTCACCGCTGCTCTTTATACACTTGGAAAGCATAAGGATCCCCGCAGTTATAAATCCATGTAAGTAAAAACTTAGTGTAACAGAAGTGCTGCCAGGCTTCCAATTTGCAGAGCTACAATAGAAGAGTAATTGTGAACTGGATGCTATAGCTGTAGGTTTTCTTCATGAGCAGACACTCCAGTTGTTAACTGCTTTCACAGATGAAGGCAGAACATTTAAAGTTTGGGTTAGTGTTTATGTACACAACAATATAGCTTGATTACAAAGCGTTCCCTTGAAAAAAATGAAGTCCCTTAGGGTTTAGAAGCGCGCAGCATCAACTCTGCCTTGTGGACATAAGCTTGATTTTCAATTAAGGAACAACAAATTCGGTTAAGTGCATTAAGCCAGAAGCACATGAGGTTAGTTTTCTCCGAAGCACTGAATACAGCAGCAGTACCTCAGCATCAGTATTTGTCACGAAATTAAAACACATTTCAGAGAACAAGGTTTCTGCACTGGTTCGGTGCTGGTTGTAAGCTCTGCCTACAGCTAGCCCTGAACGACTTCTGTTGCAGTGCAGCTTTTATTAATGTTTAACAAGGGATTCCTTTTTTCAAACACTTGTTTCCTGAAGGTAAAAACCATTATCTGATTCAAGAGGATACTTCCTAATCAGAGAGAAGAGAGACCAGCTGCAGGAAGACCAGCATGCTTTCTGGACAGCCAGGATCAGTCATCATACAGACTGCTCAATTTAAACACATCGGCACATTTCATGTATCACCAGGTTAGGGGTACCTGCTCCTGCAGCCCCTTTCCTTCTGGGCTCACAGGACTACAAATGCATTACCAGACACTGGTCATGTAGAGTAGTTCATTCCAACACTGCATCAGGTAAACACTGACTTTATGAACATGGGTTCAGATCTGTGTTCCTTAAGTGCGAACTCTTAAGGATCATACTCTCAAGGCCATCCACCCTCCTTACTGCCAATGTCCTACCTACCCAACCTTCGTTCTTCTGCAGACAACCCTTCCTTCTGCAAACTCAGAGAAACTGAATTTGCTTAACAAACATTTCACACTGTAACTAGATTAATCTGTAACAATCACAACAGTAATCTTGGTTATGTTTGGTTAAAACATGTACCCAAACTGTGAGAAAACACGAAGTTTTTATTACCACAGAGAGCTCTTCCCTGCGAGGGTGCTGAGGCGCTGGCACAGGGTGCCCAAAGAAGCTGTGGCTGCCCCATCCCTGGCAGTGCTCAAGGCCAGGTTGGACATGGCTTGGAGCAACCTGCTTTAGTGGAAGGTGTCCCTGCCTGTGGCAGATAGCTGGAACTGGGCAAGCTTTTAGGTCCCTTCCAACCCAAGCCAGTCTATTATTAAATGATTCTATGGATGTCAACACCAAAACGCAAATCCCTTTTCTCGAGGGAAGGCCAGAGGTCTGACACGTATCTTCTTCCTTTGTCCAAGTAAATACAAAAAAGGCAGCAGCACCACAGTACCTTCAGCCCAAACACTGTATTTGGAATTATTCCAGTTCCACTAAGTTTGCAAATGCTAAAAATTCTTGGACAGACCAATTCCTGGGAATGAGACAGGCGCCCTCTGAGCAGCCACACTTACTCAAACTGCTGCATGTAAGTATCTTGACTGGGCTGTGGTGTGAGGAAGCAACAAAGAAAACAAGTAAGGGGTGAAGAAGAAACCCTGAGCCACAGTCTCCTAAGACACAAGCTGACCTGTTGAAAACACCCACTTACATTTCACTTCACCAACGATGCTGTAAACCCAAAGGGAAGCTCTCTCCCGTAACAAAAGAAGTCAACACCCCTTCCTCCCCAGGTGCAACCAGTATGTAATAAGGATTTTATTGAATACAGTTAGAAAAAAATACTAGAGCATGAAGACATTAATTTCTGCAGGTAAGTTTTATGAATGTGCAGAATCAAACAACCATGCAAAAAGACATCTCCCCCCTCCAACTGTAATTCAGGACTCTTGTAATGGCAATATTATTACCACCTTAAAACAGTGTTCCAGACACATAATGCATTGCTTTAAAAAGGATTTTGTTCCTGAACGCAGCTGAAAAAGAATTTAGTAGCAATTGGGCAAGACCAATGATTAACAGGTACAGTATTTAGCCAATACTCATGCCATGTGTAAAGAGTGCAAGCAAAAAATGCATCATTACATAGAATAAGTAATTCTTTTGTTCAAGGCAAAATTTCTAGTAAAACTAATCCCCAAACTACTGAAATGGTGACTTGATAATGTACATGTTCCGGAAGATCATCCCATGGAAGATTTGTTTCGTCAAGTTACATCAGTGCCATGTAAAACATAAGAGTCAGAGTTGCTGGACAGCGAAGTGCTCAAGAGTATATTAACATTAAATTCCAGCTCCTCCAAGAAACGTTTCAGGTATCAGATGTAATGCTAGGTAGGAACATGGGCTTATACATGAGGGAAAAGATTAAGATTTCTCATGCAATTTGTCATACTAAAAAGGGATTGCGAAGGAAAGGTTTTATCTGCCATTTGAAGTCAGTTCTGAGACCTGCAATACACTGTCTACATGTGTAACATGTAAACCCACACTGAAATGCACCACAGCATTTAAAGGCTCATTCATTATAAAAGTATACTTTACCACATTGTTAAATACAGCGTAACTTCTGAAAACTTGAATAAAAGGGTACATTTAACAGCAAGTATTCCAGTACATACCTGTTTGCAATTTCACTTCACTCTTATTAGACAGGTGAAAGCCTGTACGATCAAAAAATCAGCTTTCAAGCCTTGCTTCTGGGACAGTCCTGTGATTATTTTGGTTTCACCTTCTCTCCACATTTACTACTAAAAGCTACAGCCAAAGCAATAATCTGTTGATGTGTCAGCTACCCCTACTCTTGTTGAGGTGCCACTACATGAAATACTGGGACCAAACACTGTATGTTGAAACCTGTTCTGAGCACTGCTCAGAACATTCAACTTGGGTAACTGATGCAGCTTTTGCAGCTTGATGATGAAGACACAGTTATAAGCTGCTAAGAATTAATGCAGTTAAACAAAAGATTTGTGGCAGTCTACACCATCTGAGAGTTTGTAATTTTGGGAAACATCACAGGCCATTGAAAACTAGACGGTTACTTGTAAAACCTGTACCTTCCTGCCTCATCAAAGCTGGGGATCTTTTGTATGCTTGCTTACTTTTTTGAACAGGAGAAATTTAAAAGGGGATTTATTGGTACTGATACAAGAAGTCATTATGGAACTCTGGAAGCATCTTTAAGTTTGAGCTGAGAGTATGAACAACAGCAAAAGAGTAGGAGGAATGAATAAAAAGCAAAAGCAAAGACCATTATTACAGGAGCATTCTTCTACTTCCGGACAAGCTGACTCAGCTACCAGCAGTCTGAAAGAGCCTATCAAACTGTTAGGGGATCCCAAAGTTTCAGCAGAAGAGGCCATTCATCCACATTGCTCTCTGTTTAGCATCTCGTATACTAAGGGAGAACACAACTTGCTAGAAATACCATTTTTCCCCCAAATCCCATTTCCATTGTAGCTCTTTAAACCATACTTTACATAATGTAAACCTACTGCATGTGTGGATGCAAATAAATTGAAAATATGTTAAAAATGTAGAAAAACATTTATATAGGGTATTTATATATCCATATGGCTAAACACACATTTGAACTTGCTTGTTAAGCAAGATCTTTATCCTGGCATTTGAACACTGCTCATTTTGCTGTCCAAGTTCAGAGTTCTGCATACAAAACCACAGATGGCATGCTAGCAGCTACAGCTATCTAGAACATTTCACTGAATAGCACTGAAGTGACTATTCTCAATATCACACCAATGTAAGCTCTGCTTGTCAGTTCAGAGCACATCAGGGAACAGCTGTTCAACTTTTAGAGGACCTTTTGCAGGCATAGTTTTTTGTGAGCTTGCACTCCATCACTTCACAACACTGATTTGACAGTGACAGATTTATATACAGGGGAAAAAAAAAAAGAAGAAAAAACAGAAGGCATTATTAGAGGTTAATAG